CGATCCATTATGCAACCTTCTCATCCACCTCAAGCAACACGGACTACTGACTACATGTTCAGAGTCATGATGGGAAATATTCTCTGCTCTAATGAGTGATTGGATTATGTCAAGATAAGGCCAAAAAGTTTGTTGCCCGACCAAATTTTTTACATCTATTAGTTTTTTTTAAATTTCTTTTTTGACATGTCTTCCCAAAACCCAAAACATTTGTATAATGTTTAAAAAGGGTACTTTCATGTTTAATTAATAACTTTGATACAATAATTATGGATTTTAGGACCATTGTTGTCATTTACCAACCAAAATACCTAAGTTAAAATTATCCATGAATCCTTATGTATGTTTTTATACTCTAAGATATATTTTTATATTGAAATGTGTTTTGAAGACTTTAATATTCAAGAATTTAAATACATATAACATTATATTCTCATTTACTAAATCATAAATGTTCTTACATTCCAACAAGTGGCACATTCAAGAGTCTTGAAATGGGAGGGGGATGTGGGGCCCCTCGATGATTGAGGGAGTGCTAGATCATAAAATAAGGCGATTTTTAAATTTTTTTGTTTCAAACATTTCCAGTGTGGCAGTGGCATATCTAGGAGCCTTGAAATGGGGGGATGGGGGGTGCACTGATGGGTGAGCACAAAAGTCACGTGGGGGTTCCATGATTAGGTGAGGGGTAACTTGCAAAATAAGGTAATTTTAGGTGATTGTCAACTACTTGAGCTACTTGGGATGATTAGGACGTTTGAAATACTTTGTGTTACCAAGTATATAGGTATGTAGAGAATATTTACTGTACTTTAATGTGCAACTTATTTATGTCGTGTTAGTAACGAGAAACATCATTAAAATGTTAAATAATCAATAAATTTCCTGGCAACCATGTCAATACTGCAACATGCTCATCTTGCATTTAGAGTATTATTGAAATAAATTATTTGTTTTATTTTCTTTTGGATGATAATTTTTAATCATCCACAAGAAATTAAATAGGTATATTATCATCTCCTCTCTATATTAACAGCATTCCTAATTAATTTATTCACAAATATTTTTTTTTCTTTTCAGTTACTGTATTTTATCTGGTATAAACCCACCACCATTAAACACAAAATGTTTTTTCAATCAAAATGTAAATTTTCAGCATTGCATGATATTTATCAAAGTCAGCTAACCTACTCATTTTAATTATACTATAGGCTTTTGCCCAAGGAAAGACTGGTGCATAAAATTGGGTAGGAGGTTATATCCAATTTGGGCTTATACCCGAGGAATTATGGTACAGTATATTGTTTTGTAAAGTATTTCAAAATGACCAAGGTACCTCTTACTTGCATCACTAACAGCCAATAGGTTCATTATAGCTCAATAGGAAATTTAGCATTATCTGTGATGTTCCAGGTTATAACATTTTTCAACTCACTGCTTTTATTTAATTTTCCTCACATCCAACATGAAATACAATAAGGAGTATATAATGTGATAAACATTTCAGGGAATGAAGTCAGTTTACCATTGCCAACCATTAAGAGTCTGACAGACATTCTTGTTTCATTTCATATGATTTGAACCCTAGATTTTGAGAATGAGGCATGTTAAGCTCTGTAGAGCAAAGTGCATTCCATTGATACACTACATACCTTTCAATATGAAAAAATGAAAACTACCACTTGTATTGCGACGTTCTGTAGTTCATTCATTCATTTTATGAATTGGTCAACTTTTATAGAAACGCAATCTGTTAATATCCAAGAGTAGATTGCTCTACACATCCTATCTACGGTCTTAACGCTTAGTCAGCTATTATCATGACACGGATGCAGGTCTATAATTATAGACCATTGCTATACCGTGGTCTGATCAGTTAAGATTACCTGTTTAAGACTGTTTCATAGCAGTCCACCTCATGTCCTTTGTTATGCAAGAACAAATATATAGCAATATATGTATATGATTTTTCTCTCAAATAATTTGTCTTTCTCCGAGTACAATGTTAAAACCAATGCAAACTTTGTTTAAAACCACTGTGATTGTTTATTGCACTTTGATACATACACACCAACTTATGTTTGTTGTATTACACATTTAATAAAATATAATCAATGTATCTTTCTTTATGTTAATAAATATCCATGAATATATAAAATAAAAAAACTAACAAAAATCTTAAAAATTTAACTGAAAACAACTGAGCTTTACTTAACAGTAATTAACTTTTGATTACAAAATCATAAATTTAATATTCATTAACATACAAAAAAATTATTCATTTCATATTGCTGAAAAATATGCTACTTCAAAATTTACAACAGACTTACTATATCGTTACTTGCTGTTTCATAAAAAGATGGTTTTTTTACTCTTTTGGCTGTCCTTATCTACATTTTTATACTAACTAATTTCATACAGATATTTTCATATCGCTTTATATTTGTACGTCATTTTTTATAATCATAATGATCACTTTTTATAATAGACGTGGACATATGTTTTAACTGCTTCTATTTTTTTTTTTTTTTTGGTAAGTATTTAGATATCTCTGAGAATCAATTAATACATTTATAATTAAAATAGACTAGGTAAATATTATTGTCTATTTGAATAAAAGTTAGTTTATATATATATGATATGTTGTATCTCAGATAAAAATAATGTGCTGTAAAAATTTACAGCACATGGATTAATCTCAATAAATACTATACAGCTGGTTCCAACCTCATCCACTATCCACACAACCTTCAAATCACCTGCATCATGACACTTCACTTAGCCTGGTTCTTAGAAGTCGTACACTCTTGTAGAACATCAACATAATTGCGAAGCAAAATGTCCGCAAACATTAAAATGTCCTCTGTAGAGATTCCGGTTATCTTCTCCAAATGATTAATTACCTAATACAAAAATATGGAGTGTTGACAATGCAAAGCCAAACTTTTTTTTTCCTAGGAAAATGGCCAATTCTACAAAATTTCTCTTAATATCAAATATGGTGTCTAGCTTGCTCTTGTTATTAATATCAAGGTTCTGAGATCAAAACAAATTTGACCTACTTGAAACCATTAAAAAACACTAGAATTATTCACCATAGATTTCAGCAATACAGCTGTTCTTTGTGATTTCACTTCATAAAGTTAATTAAAATGTGTTAGTCAATTCTAGTATTCTCAAGGAGAGTTCTGGTTGAGTAAACAGCAATTTTTATGTACCTTACTCTTTATCAATACCACCATTTTTTTTTTGTTTAGTTTACCTTATCACTTGTGCTCTGATCTGCAACGTATGATGATGCAGCTATGATGGCAACAGCGAACAACATCAAATCATTCTCAACCGGCGCAAACTTTATCCTAAAGCCAAATTAAACAAATAAATTATAAGGTAGAAAATAAAGAACAGGTGTGTGTGCGACTGGATGAATAAAATTCAATAAACTTATTTCTCCACGATGTGAAATGTTGAAGCTGGAATGCATTGCAAAGGCTCATGCATTATAAAATATGGTACTACATTCTTTCTTTGTCACATTTAGATTAAAATGACTAGACAACTAATTTTTTGTCTTGTTGAATATACAACATAATAGACCGATTTGGTGATGGGCGTCACATGACCTAACTTAGGTGTTAGATATAAACAATTGACTGGCACAGCAGTGTTTTACATGGAGACTGCTATTACATCCTGCCTTGTTGCTGTAAAGATTATCATAATTCCCATTAAACTATACCAAATTGATTGGAAATTAAACTTAAGAATTTTGTCTTAATGGTTTGCTAATGCTGTAAAAGATACTAGCCGCAAACATTGAGATTTTTCGACAAATGTTAAGCCCTGCACATCTACGCCACGGTTAGGTATGCATGGGGCTCTTCAACCCACGAACTAAGCTGCAATGTTAGGGCTAGCTAAGGTTTATGAAGGATCACTTAAATTTCAAAACATACAATCCTAGAACGCTAGGATAAGTAAATAAACAGTATTTTGAACAATCATATTGCTTTTCCTAGCCATTTATTTCTCACGTTAACAGTGGGTGGTTGTTTTTGCAACCATAACATTACCATTTCCTATACTATTGCACTGTAATGCTTTTCATGTACAGGATACCTAAGTTATGTAACGCGACCAACTGTAAACTGACATCACCGGATCAGTCTATTGGTTGTTGTAACCACAACCTCTTTTATAGGGGCGTAGCCTGGTTTCAGCCTAGAGGGGTGCTACCATTTAGAATGAGGAAGCAAGTCCTTGCCATGGAAAATTAATGGTCATCTTCATACTATAACCAACTTAGTGGAAATAATTTGCCATCGTGGGATTGGAGGTGTGGCCATATCTCCCCTCTCCCCCCCCCCCACTCCCAATTATCAGTATTCTGCTATGAACCATTAAACAACCAAGAGTTGCCAGAGTGTTGTACTGTGTTGTATAACACTGCCATTTACCTGTCTTGCTTGTAGATACATGCTTGGCCGGTGACAGTTACAAATAGCTGTTCATAAATACACTGTCTTCTCAAGTAAGCCAAGTCCATTATCTTCAAGCTGATGTCATGAAGAGGCTTCACCGCAATCGTATCATCATTATGAGCTATTTATAAAGGAAAATCTTGAAAATAATCATGATTTATAGAGGTTTAAGGATAGGGACCAGGGTGTAGTGATTCAGGGGGGAAGCTGTGATTGGGTGCAGAAAAGAATCTGCCTCTTGCATAGAGTGGGCAATTTGGTCCATTTTAAGTTGTTCTGAGACTAGGCTCACAAGAAAAAAATGTCTGGTGCAATGAGGTTAGGCTTGTCCAATGGGCCCCCGTCCCCCAATGACGCCATTTGGCCTTATAAGATAGATAGATGCGTGCAAATTAGTAGAAAATTTTACTAGCTTAAGGGTATGCTATGGACAGCAATTTTGTTTTAACACTGACAGTATGGGACACAGATGAATGCTAATTGAACAATTAGTAACTGATAAAAAAAGATCATGAATAAAGATAAAGAATGATAAAGGATTGAGGCAGAATTACAAAGTTCACAATGTACGCAGCTAGGACAACATTCATTGCATGCATTTTTTTAGGCTTGTAAGCCATGAATTTTGTTTTTCTTTCAAGTGGTGGCGTAAAGATTTACTTGGCGAGGATCAAAGCTGTCCGATAGGGGTCTGACGATTTTGATAAAAACCAGCCAGGTCTAGGTGTAAAGCCCTTGTGAGGGCTCATGTGGCTATGCCCCTGACACCTAAAAAAACTGGTCAATTTTCTGTGATGTATTAGCACATATCATGGCCAAATTTTAAAAAAAATGTTTTTCTCTTTTTAAGTCTAATTAGTTGTGCGGTCAAAGGGGCTTAGGCCCCACTGCTTTACCAAGTGCTTGCGGTGTCTGTTGTGGAAGAATGTTTATTGTCGACAAGGAAAAGAAAAAATGATAGCACAGAAATAGAGCAAGTGAAATACAAAATTAAAAAGCAACATGTACAGGTTATAACTTTGATTTTTAAACTGTTCGTAATTAATTTTACCTACTGTATCACTGGCCTATTTTATAAAGCTTGATTTAATTGTGTATTTTTATTTCATTACTGTAATGATTAAGTAAATAAATGTATAAAAATGGAACTTAATTCTATGATGCTAGGGTAGTCTGTAGCCTGTTAGCTATAAGTATAATGAATCAATGTAAAATAATTATACCAAACACCCAATTTTTGTTTCTGGACCATAATGAAAATTTATTGAGCATTATAAAAAAACATAAATTTCTATGTGTTGTTAATTGAACTATTCAAAAACAGAGCATAAATCATGTTGCAGCTTTTTTTTGCTGTATGTTTATATTTCTATTCTGTTTTGTGTATCCAAATACATAAATACCAAAAATATGAAAAATTAAAAGAATGAATATAATAGCATCACAGTAGCCAGTATATTTTTTTTTTTGGAAAATTGAATACTTGAGCAAAAAACAAATAAAACAGGCTGGCTTTTAGAGATAACGGTAAAAGTAAATTGCGTAGGTTTTCTTTAAATTAGATTTATCCATTATTGAATTATGTAGGTCAGTAGATCTCGTCCTCTGTTGAATGACAACGTACTATAATGATAACAATAAATATAAAAAATAATAACAATTAATAATAATTGATGTTAGTTCATGTGAATAATAGAATGTATTTTAAGACTGGAATTATTAGTGACATTTAAATTAGCATTGAAGTGTGGCACACTTACCAATAACCTCTAGAATGATTTCTACATAGGTAAAGGGTGAAACTGTATTTAGTTCGTACTGTAAAGTCTTGAGAACACATAGCTCGGACTGCAGTATACTGTCCAGCGAGTAGGTCAGTCCAATTTCATTTAAGATTCTGTGGCACTTTTTAGCTGTTAAAGACTTAAATGATATAACAAATAATGCAATAGAAAAACACAAAAAGAAAGAACACATCTGCATCAAGAACAAACTCAATAAGTAGAATTGTAGGCCAATATTTAACATTCCCCTTTAAAGAAATTTTGTTGTTTGCAGATGTTTAGTTTTTTTTGCTTGCAATCTTGATTTGTTTAGCTAGATACCCCTGTTACTTGAGCACATGCAAATTATATACCATCACGCCTTTGCAACTCAAATTTTCGGTAACAGTGTTGTGATGTTCTTGTCTGGTTATTTTAGGTTTACGGTAATTCTGGTAAACTTCCTTGTTTATAGCGCCTTGAACAGTACTGGAGTGAACATGTGCACATTATAATAATGTTTTATTAGTATTAAATTAGTATTAGCTCTGAAAAAATGTTCAAACGTTCAATTAAAACTTTGAATTTCTCATGTATGTAAAATAGTAATACAAGGGAGCCAGGGAGGGAATTTTATAGTTGGGGGTCCATATCCCTCAGTCCCACTATAGTTGAGGCTGATGGGGCCGAGTCAAAAAGGTTATGTCTTTGGCACTTCTAGATGACTGGAAACGACTCTCAAATTTAAATTTGAACATGATTTTCATTTTCCCTTTGTTTTATTATGTTCAAAAGCTGGGGGAGGAGAAGGGGAAGCCGGTCTCTTGAACCTACCTTTGTAAAAATATCAAATAAGTTACAAACATCTAATGAGACACATTAAATCAATTCAGTTTTCCAGTGATGTTTCACAGATGTTTTAACTCTGAAATTATCAAATTGTTTGCCAATACAACACAAAAAATAAGAGAACGATATAATATAACGTGTCTGTTGACTGACGAGAAAGTAATTCAAATATTGTTTTACATTGATATTTAAGCAACAAGGCCATCTGACCTTGAAATGTTTGTTATATCAATATCGATTTTATATTGTACATTTGTAGGTGTAGTACTTTTATTAATGGCAGTAACACTTAATTTTGATTCACAATGCAAAGCATGCAACAATATCGATGTCACCTAATGCAATGCTTTTAATGTTAAGCTCTGTCCAGATTATCAAATGCCCATATATAGTCATAATGTGCCTATATATGGTCATGATGTGATGTCATCATGACCATATTTAGGCATGTCACATGTTTTTGTCATACAAAATTTGAAAGCCTGGACACTGTAACATGTACAGCACTTAATATTACTTCACATTATGATATAAGACACGTAATATTGTGTTACCTTATAATGTGAACACAGCTTACTAGCCACTTGGAGACAGGAGAGCATTCTAAGCGTCATTTGTTTCTTCAGTTTATTGATGATGTTCTGCCAGTCTTGCTTCTTGTGAGTGTAGGATGAACTATTCATTACATATTCGTAAAGACTAAACACCTGGTTTACCATAAATCTGATAGATTTGGAAACAATTGATGAATGCATATATCATGTCATATTATCTATTTTAATGTAATGCCTAAAGAAAAAAGAAAATTACGAAAGAAAACATAAAAAGTACCAAATACAGCAACATATTTTAATCTAGTTTATTCATTTCAAACACATAAATATTCCCGGCAAGATATTACCATCTCTCTAGTTTTTTTTTTTTTGTTTTTTTTTTGTAATTTAATATCTTGTTTGACAATGCAGTCTCCCATTTTTTTAAATATACAGTATACATATCCTAATATATAGGCCTATTTTATAATGATCTTAATTTATTCTTGTTCACTGGTTTATTTTTTATTTGAGTATTTTTTCTATAGATTTTACGAGAGACAGGCAGTGGCGCCGCCAGCATCTGGGTGGGGATGGGGGGGCAAGTGAGGGACAAAGTAAAATTTTAGGGGGGACAATATAATAGAAATCAATTAGATGAAATAAAAAAAAAAACCAAGAATAATTATAATTTTAACAATAAAAAGCAAAATTTAAAATATAGTGATAAATACAATTTTATTTTCCTGTTCACAAATATCATAACTAATGTTATGTAATTATTCATAACACATTTTGAATATTTATGAATAATAAATAATAGTAATATTAATTATTCATAAAATATTTCATAAGTTGTTAATGATTATAGAATACCTGTTGAATATATCCACAGCCATGTACTTTGCTTCAGAAGGTTGTTTAAGCTTTTCACACATCAGAAATATAAACTCAACTGAAAGTGGTAAAAATTTATTTTGTTTTAATCCATAACAAACAAAACATTAATTAATTAATTAATAATTCATAATGGTGATAATTAATATGATGATAGCACTAGTAATGACAAGAGAGATGATGAGGGGGGTGATGACAGTACAGTAATGGTGAAGAGGATAAAGGCGATGAAAATTATAATGAGTAAGATCTGATGATCATGGATATAACTGATGATGGTCGTTAATTAATTTGTACCAAATAGCAAAATTTAATATTACTAAATACAAATATTACTTATATAAACATTGCATTTAGTAATTAATAAATACCTAATTCCCTATAGTATTGCATTAAGTTTTGTCGTATTATTTCTACAAATTAATTAATGACTATTCCACTTATCAACATCATAATCAATTATATTCATGATCATCTCCCTTATTATAATTTTCCTCACCGTTATCCTCTTCACCATTACTGTATTGTCATCACCACCCTCATCATCTCTCTTGTCATTACTAGTGCTATCATCATATTCTATTCACTATCATCATTATACATGTACTAATGATAAGCATTGATATAGTTTGTCTGATAATAATTTGTATTATTACTTATATAAAAATATTTTAATTGGTAATATTAAATATTATTGTTGACTGTAGTAATAAAATCATTTTTAAAATAAATCTCACCAGGTTTCTTTTGTTTTTTGAAGCAGTTTTGGTTTGGTATAATACTTTTCATTTTTTTCTCATTTTCTTTGGCTAAATTTTGTAGCATCTCCTCTAAAACCTCTGATGAAACACTTGCCCCTTTTGAATTGAAAAATGGTTCTGTTGGACTGGCAAATATCTCCATGATAAGAAAACCTAAAGAACCTGGTCACAGTAACAGAAAATAAATTAATAAGATAAGACAAGATAATTCTCTATTGTCTGTTATTTTAAATAAAATCTTTTCATGACAATACATTTAAATAAAGTGGTTACTTTAATTAATAACTGCATTGGATATATACAGTATTATACTCAGAACATTTAAAACCATTAGCGCCTAGGTACTTCAAATCAGTTGATAATTTATTTCATCCATTTTAAACAAGTAATGTAATCGAATAGTCCACGGACACTAGCTGATTCAACCAAGTATAATGCATGACATATCAAGAAAACTGGAAACGGGCATCAATACACAGATTATTTATCTAAGCACTGCACATTCACCAAATGAAGAAAAATAGGATTTTCCTATTCCTGCTTCCGATGCAATAGTGAAATTTATCTTGAGGCTTTTTATCTTTAGTTAAACTTGAAGAAGAAATTACATTTAGATTGACGACTGGGTACTTCATATTTTGCACTAAACCAAACACTCAGAGACACTTTTCACTTCAGCGTTCAGGAGACAATTGGTATCAAAATGGCAAGGTAAGATCAGTTATAATATTAGCATTATACTTTCATAAGCAAAACCGTTTTGTATTAATTAGGGAAGCTTATTTATAGGCCACTTGAAAGGAAACATTCTACTAAATAGGCCTACCATATAGCCTAGATAGTATTATAGGACTAGTTTTATCAACAACAAAAATGTAATCAATGCTTAGGCTAGCCAATCCTATGCCTGCTGGGCTTTCTAAGCCTAGAAAGTAGGCATAGCATTCCGGGCCTCTCTAGACTCTACTCTAGCTAGGCCCCTACCCTAGGCCGTGTGCCTAGCCTAGGCATGCATAGGCCTAGGGGTAGGCTAGCATATAAAATTATAACAATGAAGTATGCAAAAACTTACAAAAGTTATCCGATCGATGTACAAACAAGCCTGGTACATAAATAAAATAACACTCTTAACAATATAATTAATAAATAAATAATACAAATGAAACTTTATACGTCTTCCTCCTGTGCACAAAAAAATCAACCAAGCTAGGCCTACATCTTTACCTCGAAAACGACCAGCTCTTTGTTGGGTACTTGCGCTTGGTGGTAGGGATTGGTTGAGTGGTTTCGCATTCCTCACTTTCAACCAATCAGCTACTTGTGTATACCATGGGAGAAAAATCTATTTTGAGCTTTGTTACGTAGTGTACAGTAGGGGTACCTATCAACTTTCGAACTTCTTTATTTACTAAAATAATAATATGGTAAAAATAGAGAAAAAACCTCGAGATAAAATTCATCAAAATACATGCTGGATTTGGGACCCCTCAGGAAATAAATCCTGTGTCGGGATTTAGAGGGTCACTGTATTCCAGATATCAACATTGATGGCTTGCTTGTTTTCTCATTTTTTGTTTCTGTGTATGCTGTTTTTCCGGTTTTGTGATGTTGTTCTGTTGGTATCAAATTAAATCAAAGCTACAGCAAGAAACAAAAAGAAACAATTGGCCCAATAGCGCCTCTTTTTGTTAAAATACCCGATCAACGAAATGCAACCTTTGGTCTAAGTATGTCGTATTCAGATGAAATTATAAGTTTTGAGGTACTTTATTGAGAAATCGCATGCTCCTTCAAGCTCGAGATTCAAAATTCAAGATTCCATTCATTTTCATATACGATAGTACATGAAATTTGTTTTCCAGAGCTAGGAATACACAAAATAAATTACAAGACAAATATAAATATAAAACTTCACATACAGTGCAAAAAAATATTTAGATTACAGTTAAATTCTGCTATAGCTGCTATGTAAATATTAGTAAAATAAACAATCCAATAGAAAGGGTATTTCGACGCGTCCTCGTCTACTTCACCAGAGTTACATAAGGTAGTCCTACTTGTGAGCCTATTGTCGGGTGTATTTTTTGGTAAAGCGTAGTAGGCCTACCGACTCTTTTCATTCATCATAGTATGAGATGGGCTTCTTTTTGAGATGGGCTTTTTGTCGAAATGAGATTCTTTCCCAGATTACTTACGTAATAGGCCTATTTATATAGTAATATTATATTTTGCTATTTGGTATCCCTTTGGCTGTAGTATCTCTCTCTTTTTACTAGTTCAGTATCGTTTGTACTTTTATTGTTTGTACTTGTATGCTCGAACTATTATAACATTTATAATAAATTACTTTTTCGGCTGCGGAGATGATGATAAGATTCTTTGGAAATCTCAAAGCATTTAACTACAGTTCGTCTTCCAATTCGAGACCACACTTGGGACCTGAAAATTTGGGGTGGTCTCGGGGTTGGTCTCCAATTAGAGGGCTAGCTTTGTGTTTTGTATTTGGGTCTTTGGAAAATTGGTCTCCATATCATCATGTTCCTATATTCGAGCACTGTTGTTATTATCTAGGCTATATGCTGTCTCTTATACACATCTTGGTAAAAATTTATTTTGTTTTAATCCATAACAAACAAAACATTAATTAATTAATTAATAATTCATAATGGTGATAATTAATATGAATTAATGTATACTACACGCTATTTCCCTTCAAATCGTGTATGTTGCTTGTTTGTTAATTTTGTCTTATTGCTTGTCAAAATGAAAAAATTTACAGAGAGCCAACTTTCTCAACTACAATGGTTTGTTCCACTATGTAGACAGGTAGAAGTGTTAGAATCTTTTGTCTCAATTGACCATGTCCAATCGAGTAAATTCGTATTGATAACAGAGCTACTGCTACAAAACATAGAGTATTTACATGATACCCGCATGGGAGTATTTTGGCTATATATTTAGTTATTAATTCATTACCATTATTCCATAATATTTTGACATTTCTCAACTATGCGTTAATCTAACGGAAGTTACTCATAACCGTCTTTTAAATTGGATTTTCCGATGCACTTAAAAGTCTGCGCCAAATTTAGACCAGTTGCATTAGCAAGCTAGGTTTCGCTTCACTGTCTGCTCTTCAACGGCCATAACGTTGAAGATGGCAAGCAACGTTCTTGCAGATCTTGCTACCGACTTTCTTGAATGTTCGATTTGTGTTGAACTCTACCATGTACCGAAATTGTTACCATGTGGCCATACATTTTGCAGAGAATGTATCAGCAAATGGATAGAAACACAAGGGAGCCGGGCGATATTTTCTTGTCCAAAATGTCGAACCGATACGTACGTGCCGGATGGTGGTTTGAATTCCTTTAAAGACGATAAGTTTGTACTGAGTTTGTTATCGTTCCATCGTGTGCAAGTTGGTATACATGACGAAGTGGAATGGTTGAACTGCGCGTCTTGTTCTGAGCAAGTTGGACAGTCCAGCTGCAGTGGCTACTGTCACGAGTGCAAAGGGGTCATCTGCAAGACTTGTGGTCAGCATCATAAATCATTGGCAGCTCTGAGAGGGCATACTGTCGTTGATGAAGAGGAACTTAAAACCAGTAACATCCAAGAGTTGTATCGACGGAGCCAACCGGAGGAGCAGTGTTCTCAACATAAAGGGGAGACCAGGCGTCTTTTCTGTCAAACATGTGAGATGATCATATGTCAAGTGTGCTGTTTAATTGGTCATCCGCGACCAAAACATAATGTAGCACCAGTTACCGAGACAGCAGAGAAAGTGAAGAAAGAGCTAGTGAAAGAGCTTGATTCTGTCTGTTTTACTATGAAACGGATTGAAAAGAAAATGGACGAGGCCAACCATATTAGAGGACGATTAACAGCTAAAATAGAATTGTCGAAACAAGCTGCTTTTAAACGGTGTGAAGAAGTTATCAAAAGAGTTAATGATGAGTTTCACACACTCATTAAACAAATAGATAAGGTAGGCGGCAATCGATTGAAAGTAATTGACGCATTTATCGATAACACAAAATTAACTTTGGGAAAGGTAAAAAGTAGCTACCACCTTGCGCAGAGACAAGTGGATCTCTGCACAGATCGTGACATTTTGATGGTAGGTCCTGAGCTTAGACAAATGAGCAAGAACTTAAAAGGAGAAACAGTTGGCGAAGTTGATTCGAATTTTGGTACCATCATATTTGAGTCAAACAAAGAGGAAGCCAGTCCTTTACTTGGAAAGCTAATAACAACTACGTATAGATGGCGTCTGAAGAAGACTTTTGGCCAAGCAGGAAAAAGCAAAGGAGATTTTTTGTGGGCGTACGATTTGGTAATTACTCCGGATTCAGATATCGCTGTTTGTGATCCAAAGCTGAAACGAGTACAAATTTTCAACGAAGTTGGCAAATACAAAGTTTGCCTTGATGTTGGTAAAGACGAAAAGGATGGAATTAAGGAGCAAATGAATGTATCGTTTACAAACGATTCTCGATATATCGTGGCCCAGAGAAATTCAAAATGGGTAAAACAATACACGACTGACGGCAAGTGTTTTTGTAAATTTAGCCCGGACGAAAATTTGGATGGACGATATGCTTCTCTGGAAAGCATCGCCGTAAGTAACCACGGAATGATTTGCATTGGACAGTCGACACCAGTCGGGGTAGTTTATCTTCATGAAAAGGATGGAACCCTTATTTGGAAGCGTAACTATTCTCAGCCCTGGTTTATTGCTTTTAATTCACTGGAACAGATTGCAGTCAGGACCAAAGGTGGCATCAGTATTCTGTCCTCGGAAGCAGGCGATATGATTAAAAAGATAACGGTTCCCATGAAGTCTGGAGAATGTGATCTTCGAGGCGTGTGCTTCGATAGCAAAGACAACCTATATGTAGTTGACAACAAGGGCAAAATGGTCCATAAGTTTAATCAAGAATGGAACTATTGCGGGAAAGCTGTTATTGGTTTAAATGATCCTTATGGAATAACATTTTCGCATGATGGACGCATGTATATCTGTGACCATGACGATGTCAAAGTAATGGAGTGGTTTTAAAATCGATACGCCAAGTTGCACTTGGTTGCACGCATACGCACATGTCTGTCAATAGATGTATAATATAAGATTTTACTTCACAACAGTTTTATATTAACTTCTAAACTATGAACATCAACAGAGTAAACCTAATAGAAATTATTTGTGTTCAGAGTTACTGTTCCTAAAGTAAAATGATGAGGTAGTATGCCACACACAGGATGTTAAATAAAATTTAATCGTATTCTGGCGTTATTAAATGACGTGGTGAATGACGTAGTTTCGTATGCGAATTGTAAAATTGCTGTCTGAGTGTTTATAAGATATCCCAAAAACATCTTGAAAACGCTTATTGTAAACGTGTTTCTTTCAAATTAAATATAAGAAATGTATTTACTGTATTATGAAAATATTAATATAATTAACTGCTTTACGTATATATTTCTACAATCAATACCTAAAGTAAAAATCTAATGAAATAATTCGAAGATATACTTGTAATCATATTAATAAATGCTTTAAAAATAAATTAACTAAAATTATGTTATGCTTGGTTTAATTAAGTGTTCTGCCTATATCTAATGTAGATATACTGGTCATAGATTGATTCAATAGCATAATGGTTCAGCATCTATTCATTAGAACAAAAAAAGTACAAACAAAAGAAGTGTAGAAAAAACGATGTAATAGGAGGAATAAGGTTGGTGAGCACGTGACAAAAATTATTCAGTCCGGCGTCCACAGATTTGATTCCTGATTCACCCCGCCCACTAATTTTATATAAATTACTATCTAACACTTACTAAACAATCAATCAAGTTGGAAGTGAATAAGTTAATAGGTAAAACCATGAAGGAAATTGTTAACCGGGCAATACTACATGATTTTGCGCAAGTCAATTTCAGAAACGTTTAATTGGGGAACGTACGCGAAATACAGCACGTAGATTTTATAGAATTTATAAGCTTGTTTATGTTGTAATAAATAAATATAATTAACATTTACTCATATGCGCTCCGATAGTACCTAAGTTAATTATTTGGTCAATTACAGTGATCTGTCACAATCTATTGATGATTCTTTCCATACCATATCTGGCCAACTGTGAAATGGTCTGGCTGATGAGGTCGTGTAACTTGGTCAGATATGCAAGTCTCATCTAAAACATGCTAATCATTATCATATTTGTTTTTCAATGTCTTGTTAAATAAAAAGGGTAACCATTCGCGTCCACCATGATGCCCAGCTACCATTGTTGATGGGCTGTAAAGTGGTTCTATAGAGCTAGCTGCAAGAATTTCATAGCCTTGTTAATATAGCCTATTTTTTTTTTTTTAAAGTAACGCCTTACCTAGAAGTGGCTTTCGGGCCCTGTTTTGGTGGAATTGACTTTGATTAACTTTATTAGGAACTCATAAATATACAATACAATACAACAAGATAAAACAGACTTTTGAGGATACACAAAACTTACTTCCATTGTGGTCCTCATAAAACACTTGGCAAAAGAATAATTGAATAAAAGTGAAGTGGTTCACGCATGTTTCAGTGCTAGCTGCAAGGATTCCATGGCATATAAATGTAATTCTAAAAGGTGACCTCTTGCCTAGAAGTATCTTTCGGGCATTGCTTGGGGAAATTGAATTAAGAAAATAATAACTCAGAAATTAGTCGTGTGGTTTTGATGTATTATTGCACTGACTGTTTGTTGCAACTTGCTTCGGGTGCAAGCGTTGTTGCTTCATATGACATGTTGGCCTATTCACCATGTTAGTATGTTTATATAGAGTTGATATATTGTTCGTCTATGTATTATTGTTAACAACGTCAAAGTAACTTTCCAACGATAATGTTTATACTTTAATTTAACCTAAAAATAAGTTATACATCTCAATGTTTACATTGATCTGTTTCATACTTAAAATAATATTTTTAAATCTGATATACGATGTTTGAACTATGTAATTAGGCCCGTATTTTGGAATTCACTTGAAGTCCATGTATATGTACAATGTTTTCATTAAATAAAATAATAATCATTTGTTAATAAATATTATTATTGATAATAATTGTTATATTATTTATTTTCTCTTTAATACAAGAAAAACAATAAATATTTAATGGGTAATAGGATTAACTACAATTATTGTTTCTGTATAACGTCTTGTGAGAATAGACGGTAGGGGTACTCTATAATGCGGTTCACAACTGCATTATCCACATCATCACAATGCCAATATTTCGATAGGCCTATATGTTAACGTTATCAAATCACATTCAAGAATAGATAAAAATTTAAAGATGTTATGAGCTGAAGAATTTAAAAATTAAATTCCATATTTTAATTGTTTAATTTGTGTATTAAGCAGGGGTATTAAGTGAGTTATTAACTTACATTAAATTTTTCTGCATTCTTTTGCATAGACAGTTTAGTTGGCTCGTAATCAATTTAAAGATGTTTATAGTAACATGTCTATAAATCAGCGAAATTATATTTTTTATCTCTTTCTGGTTGAAAGTTCACACTTTCATCGATCCTTTAAATGAGCTGTTCTAAAATTTAATTTAATTTTTGAAGATTTTTTTTTTCTCTGATTTTATAGTGTATCTTTAATTTTGCTAGTAATATAAAGGTGCCAATAACAATCTGCGCCAAATTGTGTTTTGCCGAAACGGAAATAGTTTCAAGCCTCCCAGACATAGTGTAATGTTCATTTAACAAATGGCATTTCTAGTTGGAAAACAGACCTTTCGATTAACAATGTTCAATTTCGTATAATTCACAATGACAAAGAGTGCTGATGACGCGGATTGAAATGTTGAGTTATTGATAATGGGCCTACAGTAGTCAGTACTGTAATAATAATAACCTCTCTTACTGATTGTTCGCCGATGGTAAGGACGACTTACGACTCTTTTTGTAACCATGACGCACTAACAAAGTCATTATGTTGAGACTATCAGCTTGGGCTAAGTCATACCTGAGCATATTGCAGGTAAACTAGGAAGGAGTTTGCTCGTCAGGTAGCATGCTGCCAAGAGTGCTAATTATTCTTACTGCACTGGTGATGCTTAGGCCTACTTATATAGGTAAGTTTCGATCAATAATATTTTTCAATCAAATATTTCTAATTCTTGATGGGAGTTTCTTTAATATAAAGGGCAATACTATGGGAAACGCCACTATTTGGAAAATCCAACCAGTTTATTAGTTTGGTTTTGTGAAAACTCATAGAGCAATTGAACTTGTAATATTGTGGTCAAATCCAAGAATATTTAGTTTGCAAATAGATCAGTTTTTCCTCTTATAATAGGCAGTTTTCGAAGCACGACGTTAACCTTAACGTTAACGGATGACTTGATAATTTATTCATCTTGCGTTGCGGAGTACGTTAATTTCATGATTTTACGTGCTCGACGTACGTTAGTTGCGGGTTTGCGCATGTGTATATCGATTTGTTTACAAAAGGGGCGGAGCTATCGCGCTGCATGCTGGGTACTAACGTTAAAGTTAAGGTTAACGTTGTGCGGCGAAAACTACTTAATATTTAAATTAAATTGCATTTAAATTATTTATATTTATATTTCTGCTACAGGTGATCTCTTCCACAGTGATTCGGTTTCGCTTTGACAATACTGGCATTTGTATGTGTTTAGTGTTCATTTCTTACCTTTGTGTACTGTTGATGCCGAAATTGAATAAATCAAATTAAGTCAATATTCTAGACACGTATGGCATGATTTGCACAGTTAGTTCCAATAAAAAGGGTCATAGTAAAATGGAGGACCATTAAAGTAATTAATTTTCAAGGGACAAAACTAACAATGTTATTATAAACTCTTTTTCGTTTGTAAAATTCCACTGTATTTCATTCACACATAAGAAGTAACCTGTTATTCAGAGGAATGAAAAGACTAGGCATATGTGATGGTATGATAAATTAAGTGCTTGTGATGAGATATAAGAGCAGAGACGCTCATATGTTAAAAATTCTAGAATGTTGTGAATGTATATTACTGGTAGGCGGGCGACTTGCTATCTGCCGTATAAAACCATATAAAACAAAATTCATGTTGTTGCGGTCAATCTTGAAATCATCTGTAAATATTTGAGGAGGGTGGGGTGTGAGGGTGACAGCTCTTGAAAATGTGTGCATGCTCAAATTATTTAATTAAGTTTAAAAGTAGGTTGTACCGATAAATATTAGTCCTAAATTTTTACTTAAAGATAATTACCAGAATATTTATTCATTAAAATATACCTAGGCCTATATAAATTATTATTTTATTTAAATTTAAATTAATTATTCATAGTAATTTTTGCATTTTTGTTAGTCGCTATTCGGTAAAACTTAATAAGAATAAAATTAAAAGCAATAAAGGAATAAGATACTTTGAATCAATAGAGTACTATGGTGGCTACAATATGCAAATAAAAAACAACTAAGTGTATGTTTTTATATTGGCAGTTCCACGGGGTGGCGAAATCTGTACCTATAGCAGACAGAAAATTTAGGCCTAAACAAGCGAGAAACTGTTTATACAATATATTAGAATGAACCTACCCATCAACGGACACCTTTAACCCCTCCGACAAACATGTACCGGCACTGAATCATCCTGGCTCTGCTCATAATTTTACCAGTTTTGCCTTTCTTGTGTTGTGATGTACCACTGTGAAAGATGTTGAATAAAGAATTTAGGGCTGGGGTGCGCCTCAACACGAAATGAACGAATATGCAGGTCTGCCTCTAATTAAATACCCCTCCAAATTAAGACCACCTCTACTTAAAGACCACTTATCCGTGATCCCATATTAACAAATGTATTTTATTTGTATTATTCTTATTAGAGACCAAAGCTGTTAAAAACCATGGAAATCTCGGTCCTAAATGTGGTCTTTAATCGGAGGGTGACATAATTGTTGGTTTTCTAGCCGCTAAATATATACTACCGAAATGCAGATTTGTGAGCGTTAAAACAGCAAATCGAAAAACTTTTTTAATGACAACTTTATCATTCATTTTCTAGCTAGTGCTTTGCCCGACAAAAAGGTTCTAAGCGATTACGTAGATTGTATATGTTCGTTCAACCCTTGTTTCTCAAGCGATGGAAACGAGATTACTTGCGATAAAGACACATTTTGCTCGTAAGTGGACCACTATTATCGGCTTTTTTTACCCTAGACAATAAAAAGTTCAACCCGATTATCATTAACATCTATCTTTAATAATTCATAATTGGAAGGCTTATCAATTAATACCGGTAATTAATAATTTAACAGAAACCAGGCATATTAATTAGTAGTAGTTGCACAGAGATTAGAGTAACCATCTAAAAAAATGCCATCAGCTTCTACATGGCTTTATCCTTTTCGGCCATAAAATACGTGATTTGCCCATATATGGGTCAGGCTATAGGGTATTCATTTAGTACATTATTATGAATTTCAAAGAGCGTGAAGTAAATAATGTTCCAGAATATATTTAAATTGTTGGGCTGAAAATCTTAAATATTAGTCTGGGATAAACTGTACAGTAGTCTACTAGAAATTAAAGACCTAAAATAGTGAATCCTCAATTGCATAATATACATAGCCCCGAATTTTTGCGTTAACCATTAATCATTTCTTCCGTCAAAGGGCAAACAATTAGCACGAACTTTAAATTTTAAGCTTTATGCATGGTAGTTACATATTTCTATTAAACACTTTTCCAACTTTGGTTCAGGTTAGGGATACAGTACTGTATTATTTGTTTGAGCGATATTCTTATACTCAGTGGTGGATCCATAATTTTGCGCCGGGGTGGTGCTAGTGGCAAATGGTGGTGGTGTGAGTGGGATCGAGGAAGGGGAGGATTTGTTGAGACAGGAAGGTTTGAGGCATGGGATGCTCTCTTACGTATTATATGGGACCAGAGTCCTATGCCTCCTGAAAGCTTCAGAATCTCTTATCTGATTGATTTCACATTCAATTATTTTTTTGACATGTATGTGGGTGGGTGGGGGATGGGCGTCCATTTTGCCTCACCGGATCCGCCCTGTTACTTTATGTTATCTTGTACTGTTTTCACAGAACTTGACTCGTTTTAAATTTTATCTAGCGTTGGTTTATTCCGTGAAATGTCTTTCAATTGCACTGTACACATTTCCTTGGTTTCATAAAAATGTATTTGTTTTCAATTGCTTTTTAGACCTGTTTGCTGCTTAGCTGTATGTGTGCCTAAAGAGTACCCATGGCCTATTATGCCGCTTGATCCCGATTGGTGATCACGCTCGCCAAGTTGTAAGGCCTACATGTAAGTGAATTTCCTCATGTGAAACAATGGTTGACGATAGGCAGTGCTGGTGAGATGCCCGTCTTCAAACGCTGGCCAAAATTCTTACATAGTCCTATGCCTAATTCAACAATTTATAGTTGATAACTTTAATCCCGTATAATTTTTACGAATGTAGCCTTTAATTTATTAATATTTTGAGATGTTATGATTGATGTTTCTGATGGTAATTGGTTAGTATGTTTTTGTAAATGAAACAACAAATTATACATGTAATTGAATTTCCTCATGTGAAACAATGGTTGACGATAGGCAGTGCTGGTGAGATGCCCGTCTTCAAACGCTGGCCAAATTCTTACATAGTCCTATGCCTAATTCAACAATTTATAGTTTTTTGAAATTTATTAATATTTTGAAATGTTATGATTGATGTTTCTGATGGTAATTGGTTAGTATGTTTTTGTTTTTGTAAATAAAACAACAAATTATAATAATGGATAATAAAGGATAATGCTGATGTTAATGATTTATGATAATGATAGGCCTAATGATGATGATAATAATTTTTATTTTAACAACCTTCTTAAACGTATTCCTACAGATGCCAACCAACTTTTAATTTGATCAAATTACCAGAAACAAAGGAAGAGAATAAACAGGATAAACTGTCGATAATGTATACTTCGAACTCGCAAGACGGTTTGGTGTGTATTTCTTTATTGTACCATGATTGATTAAAGTGTATCTTTTTGGAGACATTGTCTTGTCGTTAATGCAGTCCTAATAAATTTGTTTCTTTCTGCCGTGCATGTGTGAGTGTGAAAAATCAATTGCTTCCAATCGGACTCCAGGATGATTAAGGAGACTGAAGACAGCAGGTCTCTCTGGGTTCAAATAACGGTTTGGGAAATATTTTGCACACAAGATATATATATATATATATATCTGTCTCTTATACACATCTAGTATATAATGCTATATACAAAACATGTGGTCCACTGATCATATTATGATACGGTAGTATAATATAATATCAAGCACACGCCAAACATACTGAGGAATTATTGATTTAAAATTACATTCTTCATTAAAACATTATCATTCTTGAATATATCCTAATAAAGAACGAAATATTTTCATCGATATTGCTATCAGGAACAAATTAAATCAAAACAAATATTATCTGTTTCATCAACAATGACCTACCATGCAGTGAAGATAATTAATTTAAAAATCTTTCAACTGGATAGGCCTATTTTGAGTTTGAGTTTATTAACATAGGTTTATATTATGTTGGATTAAAGAATTTGAATAAATATTGTTCGATATTGATTTTAAAAGTCAATTCACCAGTTTTAATAAATAAAAAATATCGTTTTTGATTCTGTAAAATGCTACCGAAACTTCTATAAGCAAGTATTATCGACATATATTTAATGAAGAGGACGAGACACTTTAATCTTCCTCCCATATTAGTAATATTGATATTGATTACATTTTAAAAAATGACTACTAAAATAGGCCTACAGCTGTTTTTGATCTCACATACGATTAAAATCTTTCAAAATTAAGCAATGTTCGTTTTCAATAATCTGTAACTCCGGTCGGGAGACATTCATTCCCGCAAATAATACCAGTTTCACTATTTTTCTTCACAATTTATAATCCTTTATAGAATAATTCACTTGACGGATTTGATAATATGCATTTTAGAGGCAAAATATTTCAACGAGCTTCATATTTAGAACTTTAAAATTATTTTTGTCAAGTAAATCATTTTCAAGACTAGGCCTGATATTTCGACTAATGCTTTAAGACAAGAGTAGTGGATAGTTTTATACACTTAATTTAATATGTCTACTATATTATAGTATATATGTTAGATCTATTATGTGTGTTATGAACATTTTGTTGTGATGAAATATTGTAAGTTCAAATCATTGAAAATAGCGAATGGCGGCGCCTATTAACAAGACAAGGCAATAAATATATATCCGATAGAACGACTAATCATTTATAAAGTAGGCCTATTTTCGTCATGCTCTAACCTTAACCCTAAAATCAAGCCTTAGCAGCTAAAATATACACTTTCCAAAAACAGCTTATTACAGGCACTGTTTTTCTTTAATAACAAATTATCATGCTATTAAAAAGAAATTAATTAAGGTTACAGTGGATTAATAAAGGCTCAGAAATATTTAGTAATTGGTGTAGAAGAGACTTTCATAAAGCTTAGGTGAGGTACAGAGATAAAGCAAAAAATCCGCCATGATTAATATTTTGCCTATAAAACAACTCTCAATATTTCCAGTGATCTATAGTTTTTCTGCTTGTTTGTGTGGATTTCGGTTCAAATCTATTGTTTGTGTTTCTCATTTTCATTGCATATTATTGTATCATAAATCCATTCAGTATTTTTCACTCCAGCTCCTAAAGCGTGTAGATTAGATGTGATGGGTACGATTTTGACTACTGTTAAATAACAGACCAGACAATCATTACATTATGAACGATTTATTTCATCGAAATATGACTATAATTATGTTTTTTATGTAAGATGACATCATCAAAATGTGTGTACATTTCATGATGCCTGGTTAACTATCTAATTTGAAAACAGACAATAGTATCCTAGTAGCTACACTTAAAACGGGAAAATAAGCTTATGAATGTAATTTCGTAAAATACTTTTTGTAAATGAAGGAATCAAAACCTTCTAAAAATTCATGACAAAGTGTATATGCTATCGGAAACTCATGTGTGTTTATTTAATGATGCCGTGTTAACTATCTAATTTAAAAACAGACAATAGTATCCTAGTAGCTACACTTAAAACTGTAAAGTAAACCCATGAATATATTTTGTAAAATCCTTTTTGTAAAAGAAGGAATCAAACAGACTTCTTGATTCGACCAACCAATCAGCATCGCCGACACCTTTCTTCGATAGCGTGTAGCAATTTTATGGAATCCAGACATAATGTATCCTAATATATTGGTACTGTATTTTGGGAGCTGTAGTGGCACCATTTGTACTGTCATGGCGCAATGATGCTGACACAGTCCCTGAGCTGTGTGTGATGTGTGCCAAATAAAATAAATGAAAAAGAAATAATTCGAAAACATCATGCGTACGAGGTTTTCCTTAGTATTCATCTGGAAAATAAAGATGAAAACATGTTGTAAAATTGTTAATACTTGAAAAATACTTATATATAAACATAGGCATACATATACATATAATACATCAAAATGTATATATATATATATATATATACATATATCTGTATGTATATGTATATATATATATATATATATATATATATAATAAAACATGCAAATATATATTCTGAAATTTGCCACATATTTTGGGAAAGTTATAATCAAAGAGATATTTAGGAGGTAGACCTTTATCAGGGGGTTAACGTATACATTATTACACTGATTAACTAATTCTATCCTACTATATAACAGCTGTCATATTAATTCTTTTAGTTGTCCCTGATATAATGAACACTAATAGGCCCTATGTTATATTTATTTCATTATATTGTACATTTTAATCGTTAAATGCACAAATTTAAATTTAATAATATAAATATAATTTGAAATTACAAACCAGAATCACAGAAACGCCAGATTCCAGTATTTCTATAACCGTTGGTACAATAACTGAAGTAACTTGGGTAGAACGGCTGAGGATCGGTCCATTGGAGGATGAGATTACCGTTATTTCTGCAAATTAAAAAAACAAAAACAAAAAAAAACATAAAAATTAGTTTCAGGCGCGTCGGAAGCTATTTTTATTGGTCCGGCCAAATATACACAATCACCATTTGCATTAATATGACTTGTTTTTATTAGTTTTGTCTTTGTATCACAAAACACGCACTATTATATTACGTCAATCATTCATACTTGTACTAAATATATCAATTAACCATTTATTCTTTATCATTTATATTTTTCACCATGAGATATAATAAATATTGACGTATGTACAAGCAATAGTAGTTAATAAACATTACTTTAACAGTAGAAATGATATTTTGAAAATGAAGTTTTACCATAGCGGCCTCTTCAGTATGTTGATTAAAATACTCTAAAAAAAATTGACACGTGTTCGTCTCGAACCAGGGCCATAGCTCAGCTACGGGTTGTACGCATGTATATTGGGCGGCCTGGGCCATGTCATAGTAGGGATTTTTTTAATGAGAAAAGTGAAAATCGATCAGTTCCAATTGATTAATAAGTATATCTATTAGTTATTAAGTATCTAATCAAAATTGCAGATTTTCCTTGGCGTGTGCCCTACCACCCTGACTGGAGGGCCTGAGTTGAACTCCTGTAGAAACGCACAGTAGCTTATTCTAATATTGACCCCTGATTCCCCTGATTCTTAATGCTCTATTGCGTATTTATCACCTGGTAGATCTTTCCATATGATGGGAATACCATACATGGTCCTCCTGGCATTAATAAACCAAAAGTTTACTAGATAGTAACACTAAATAATATATCAGTAGTCTGTTATCTGAAAATCTAACGTATACAGCTTGCTTGATTCAAAAGCCATAATAGGTTTACTAAATAATGCATAGCATATTGTACCCTGTGTATTCATAACACATGTTTAGTTTAGGCCACATTTTATATATATATTTCGCAATATCCGTCAACTCGTATAATATAGGGGCACATTGCTTGTTATTGATATTGCATTTTTTGTAATATACGGTAATTATGTTCGTGTATCTTGCACTTTATTTATTCATGGAGGAATAAGCATACTGTACCCTGTGTATATATAACTCATGTTTTATTTAATTAGCATACTGTCGTTTTAGAGCAAAATGCGGTGGTTGGTGCTGAGGTGCGAACATTTTGAGAATATGAACCTCGGTGCCCGGAAATTGCACTCTCATACCCTAAAAAATCTGACCGGTAATTCATCAACAATAAACAAATATTCTTCCTAATACAATTTGAGTGGGTGCGATGGATCGTCTGCACCCAACCACACCCCCTTCCCATCCAGCAGCAAATAATTCGCCAATTACAGGATGGAACGATGCTTTATAACCCATGTTTCTGTGAGGCTTGGTGGTGGGTGGAGTTGCTTTTAGTCGTTATAAAATATCCTGCTATTAATGGAATTGAACCTAGGACCCTGGGATTAGAAGCCTCGGAGTATCTTAACCATTATGCTATACAACTACTAAGCTATACAACTCCACTGAACTTTAAGGTTGGGGTTGGTGTTATTCATCACAAAATGCTGTAAGAGATTAGGCGCTAAATTTTACACTTTCTTTCATACTATACTCCCTTCACTTGTTTTTGACATACCTGACCGTAATTGTTCCAGCGTCAACAGTCACTGTAAACGCATTAAATGATAACGGTGTCAGTAACCATGGGTTGAATTCACATGCCTCATCCGCACAGTTCTTGCATCTGCGAACGCACACTAGAGTGTTCCAATAAGCACCGATGACAATCTCGTACATGGGAACGCTTTCTCCCTGACTTGACGACAAGGCTATCTGTGCAGACTGACGTGCTTGTACCTTAAAAGAAATATCAATTACCCGTATGAAACCTACGTAGCAGACATTAATGTGGGAGCGGTCTGCCCAGTGGTTGAGTTTCGGGCTCTTACAACTAATAACTTTGAGTTTGGGGTTTCTTCAAATCTCGCGCTGTACATTTTGCCTGTGTCCTAAAGCCTGGTTTCCATACAATCACTACACGCTATCGCCGACAGTTTCGGTGATGCTGAATGGTCGACCGAATCGGGAACCGTTCCCAATTGCGTCGGGGACTACGCAGTAGGCCTACAGCGATTGCACTGAAAACACTGTAGCGACAGTGTAGCAATTTTATAGAAACCAGGCATATTCACCACCTTATTGAAGTAGGTAAGTATCGCGTTTAATCTTACCTGGAATGCAATTGTTAATGGGGTTTGTCGACGTGGGAATGTGAACTGGTAGTCACAGTCTCCATCAGTCTCTTTCTCAACGAAGTTATTACACGCTGAAACATAAAAAGTAAATAGTTAGGACACAACCCTCAGTACTTTATCACACAGACCCGTAACAACAAATGTCTTAATGATGGCTTTCGCATGAGACGCAGAGATACAAAGTTCAAAGGCGTCTCCATTTAGATCATGGAAAGAGATGTTGTGAGGTGGAGGTTGGGACAAGCTACATCCATAAAGCGTAAACTTCTAGCATGTAAATTTTGTTGCCAATTTGATTGTTATTTAATAAAGGCGGGGGGATGATTTGGTTTATTAAAGGGGGTTCGCTGCGTGTGGGTGAGGCTTAGCTGAACCATAGTTAAACATGCAGTTTAGGGCATGTAGGCCTAATCATACTGTTTATCTGTAAAGCAGACTGACACAAGAGAGGAAAAAAAGGACATTGCTATTATGATTGTAGGCTTTTTACTAAATTATTACCTGTAACTCCTGTTGGTGAAACGTACTCCGGTATTCCACCACTGCCTATCAGAAAGTATACGATAACCGAATTAATGGCAATGTTACATTATAATTATTATTTGAAACAATACAAAAGAGACACATAATAACACCAAGAATTAAGGTTCGGATCGGGATCGGAAAATATAATTTATCTACAAATAAATCATGGTACGACAGGGAACTTCTATATATCTGTCTCTTATACACATCTAGATGTGTATAAGAGACAGCCCATAGACCTATAAGGCACACCATGGGCATACAACAGTTTTTTTTGACGAATGAAAATTTGATAATCTGTACAGAGCTTTAAAATATTACAACCCTCTTATGTTATTGTCTATAATACTCAACTCAATTCATATAGGCCTATATATGGCTATATGAGATTCCTTTTATGCTTACCTATTGCGCAAAATCTCCAAGATCCCGGTCCCCTTGCTGTTCGTACCCCTAAGTATGAAACTGGCAGAGGATTTGGATCTTGCCACTCAACTATACTTTCCGATGACCCGCCATATCCTACAGCTATTAGGCCGTTTCTGAACGTTATCCAGAACTTTGTAAACTCGTTTATGTTTAAAATTCCGTTATACTCCGATGATTGCGCTTGGTTGATTTCTCCACGCCATATTGAGATTTTTCTGTTAATACTGGCCCCGATTCGAATGTCGTATACATTATAATCGTCACGTGGTGCAGGTGAAAGACGTATAAACGCATGCGATTCCGCCTTTACTTCAAAAGAAAGCGTAGTCGTTTGCAATTGTTCACTGATATAAGCATACGTGGTTCCACCGTCGGATATGTAAGTTTTACACGCTGCAGAATATACGAAAATAATGTCATTACATATTATACAAACATATTTCAGTAATATCATAAAAACCAAAAGAAAGGGAAATAGATTTCAGCACAAATTGTTAAAAATAGGTTAATCATATAGAGATAAATACAGTAAAACCCTCCTTCAGACACCCCTAGGCCTATTAAGGGGACATTTTTTCGACCACGAAACGAGGGAAGGTATATCCTTTAACACTACGGCCAATGCCTATTTAGGGATGGACACAGGGACACTTTTGTTGTTCCCGAAGGTGTCCCCTTGAAAGGGGTTCTACTGTACTAAAATGTTAAGAGTTTTTTAAAGTTGCACTTTGCTTTGGTGTTTACAACTTACAATAGCAATCGAAAGGAACGCAATGAGTAGTTGTCGCTTGTCTAGATTGAGCCCAGTATGTCTTAGCAGCTTCAGATGGTAAAAGAGTGGCGCAAATAAACTGAAGGTGTTTATTCGAACATTCAGCATTTGTGAGATCAAGCGATACAGTCAAGTCGTCTAGCACACTCGTCTGACCATCTTGGACATCCAACCGTTTATCCTCATCAGAAAGGACGGCATTTGTTAAGCCAAATACACCTACACCATTTTCTTGAGAGGAGAGGAACACTAGAACATTGTACCGATCAGGACCAGATGAATTGACATTAGCTGCTGTACCAGAGGAAGGAGTGAATGAAACATCGACACTAATGGTGCGTACACCACCATCTAGTAGGGCACCGTTACTTGTAAACTGAAGATCGTTCACATTTAGCTCTGCTTGTGCTGTGGGCAAAACAAGTGTGTATCGATCATTAGCATCGATGTTTGTAATATTTTTTGGATTTTGTAATAAATACAATTTTGAAGTTGGTGTCAGTAGGCCTTGTGAGTTTGACAGTCCCGTATCCAAGGGGTTGGAGCCGCAATGTGCTGGGTGCGAACACACCTCACCCTCCCCCAAATTGGAAAAGGTCCATATTTAAAAGAAAGGACTATCTAGATAGTCGAGAATGTACTGATTATAAATTTTGTAGTAAATATTTAAAGATAATCAAGTTATAGACAATTCTACAGTTAGGTCTATAATTTTCACGTAGAACAAAGCAGAAATGTATTAAGTCACTGGAACGCCTATTAATACCAAACGCTCTAACCCTTGACCCGGGTTGGAATCTATGAGACCCCCATACCAAAATTGGACTAATATGCACACCCCGCACCCATGGCAATTCCGGATACTGAGCTGTTGGGTATTAATTATATAATGACGGATGCCATTTCTGATACTGATTTACATATTTACTTAAAAATAGAAACACGGTAATACAAGTACGATAAACTTGGTACCACTTTCGTATAATGAAGCATATCCAATATGATATTGATTTAGATAGACAGTTAAAAATAGAAGCACAATAAATACTATATAAGTTCTATAAATTTATAGTGTAAAATGATGTAATCATTTTTAACCCGTTGTTCGTCTGTCTGTGTATAACATAGACGTTCACCTAAGTATAAAGTTTTAATGGGGTCAGTCATGTTAGAATCTTAATAAAAAATTATGGGTGATAAAAATAATAAGGATAGACGTGATGATGAGTAACAATAGAATACCAACCTAATATAATATTATTTTGCACGCACTGCATGATTGTGTATTAACTCTCATAGGCCTAACTGTTGATAAACAGTATCTTTTATATTCAGAGATTTCGCAAGCATACGAAAACGATAAACGAATACGAATACGTCATTATCATTATCGTAATTCGTGCCTAAAACTTTCTTGACAATATGCTGTACGAACTAAATATGCAAAAGGCATGAATCGCCTATGTTGTGACATAGGCCTATGCTACTGTTGAGTAAGGGTTTTCTAAAGATTTAATGACGTAACCGTATTCGTTATCGTTTTCGTAAGCTTGCGAAAACACCTTAATGTACAATACGGTACTAGTATGGTATACTTACGAACGCAGTATAACCTAGTGCAGAACGTTCTTTGAGCTTGTGGGGACTGCGCCCAGAAAGGCCGTGCAGCATCAGACGGTCCAACATCCGTACAGACGAACGTGTATCTTTTTCCAGAGCAGTCAATGTTCGTTAAATCATACTCAACGTATGCTTCAAAAAATACAAACTGCTCATCATCTCTGATCGTCTGTATCTATTAAAAAATATTAATATCATTATTATAATATTATATATATTATTATACGAATAATAATATTGTTGTAATAACTACACTACATGACTTCTATTATTATTATTTTAAATAATAATTATAATATTGATATTAATAATAATGTTGTAATAACTACACTTGTTAGTATATTGGTAGAAATAAAACCAGTTAGAGTACCTGTGTTTCTTTATTAAGAAGTGCGGTGACTGTTGCAATCGCTCCATTTCCTTGCTCGTCCTCAGCTAGCCATGAAGTAACCTGGAACTTTTCCAATTCACCCAGGGAATTGATGATGTCTGCAGTGCCCCTATGTGGCAAAAGGTAGACACACAAAAGGACAGCAGTTCTCCCACCGTCAAAGATAACCAGGCTCTTAGGATCATCAACACCAACTTCTACATCTATTCTTGCAGTTGCTGCATGAAACCAAAAATATATGTCATTATATTGTATGTATATATATTATAAATTCACACATATATGTACAACA